CATTGAAAATATTAACGAATCCACTCTTGAAAGATCCCTTGAAACCTTTTCATCCCATAGATGACATTCTAGTTTGGGAATATTAGGACACATGGATAAAGAACACTCCTCCGCAGTTTGCAGCCCTTGACTGCCTTTCCCAAACTCCGGGGTGCATAGTAACTCTCCATCAAGTTAGACAGCCTGCCTGCACAGGCTGGACAAGCTCTAGGGACTGGGTCTTCTCTCAGTATGCTTATGTAGTGGAACTTCATGGCATTGTGCTTTTGGTGTAGTACAAGAAGTCAAAGTCTAGATTTTGATTAACAACCCAAAACAGGACCAACTGTGGTCTTCTTACAAGTACAGCACTTCTGCTCAGTAATAGTCCAAACTTATCAGCAGTGTGTCATGGGCCTGACTCGTTTTTCCCTAAAAACATAAACCGTAATGTCTAATTCCCCCATTCATCCATTCATTTCACAAACCTTTCTTGAGGACCTCTGCCAGGCACTAAGAAAGAAACCAGAAATACAGAAATGCAAACACAGCTCTGGCCCTCCAGGAGATCAGGAGGCTGACAAGCGACACAAGGGGCTATGGGACCCCTGAGCATATAACTCAGTCTGAGGGGTATGGGAGGAGGTGGTGGTTGGGCTAAATCTGGAATGGTGAGGAGATATTAACAAGGAAGGATAAAAGGGAGAGAATATGCTGATCAAGGTAGAGGAAACAATGGAGGCAAGAAGGATGAAAGTTACATGGCACATTGCTGGAAACTCAAGTGTGTAAAGGACAAATGAGAGGTTGAGGTAGAGTTTGGACAGACCCAGGTCATGAAGACCCTTCTATGTCATGATAAGGAGTTGAGGAGTTAAAATATGCATTCTACAGGGGAATGATGGTGGTATTTTAAGCTGGAAATAAGAAGAGGAGGGAGGTTTCACTAACTGTAGGGAGAAGGATAAGAATAGAGGGCAAGGACACCAACTAGGACACCGTAGCAGAACCAAGGGACACAGAACCAAGAAATACAGATTTTGAATCAGTCAGTGGCCATAGAAAGGAAGCAAAAGCACTGAATTCTAAATTAGAATTAAAGCATGAGCAATAGGACTGGGTGAGTCATGAGATGGGGCCTGTTGCTCCTAATTAAAACTTCCAAGATCACTGAGCGAAGATATCTACCCTCTAAGCACGTGTGAGTACACCAGGCAAGGTGTCAAAAGGAGGCCAAAGTAAGAGCAAAAATATGTGTGCCATGTGGCAGTTAGATTTCAACCAAGGCTGACCTTTTACCATCAGCTATGCATTGGAATATCAGAGGCCAGAAAATTCTGTGGAATTACTATTGAGAAGAAAAAAGAAAAAAAACCCACACCTTTAATGTAGCACAAATTTTTGCTTCTATGTTTACAATGTTCCTCATTCTGAAAGTCCCCTTGAAACCAAGTGTGTGTTTTTCTGTACCAAACTTCAAATAGCCAGACTCAATCCACATTGTTCTTAAGCAACTCTTCACTTAACCATGTCCAACCAAAGAGAGTCCATTGGCTCTGTTTTAAGTTATGGTCCCTCACCTCTTTGAGTAACCCACTCCAGTTCTTAAAACCCTTTCCATGATGAAAACCCTCCTCATAATGACTGTGACTCTTGTTTGGCCAGGTTAGTTGCTTTCCCCTCATGCTGTTTGGACAGTATTGAAGAATAGTTAATTGTACTAAATGCACACACTTTGATTTAACTGGATCTTATGAGTGGAAATGACTTCTCACTCAGAGATCAAGGCAAGGTGAACTACATTGAATATGATTTACTGAAAATTGCACTTCCCAGCTTCCATGGCTAACTCACCATTTATAAATAAATGAATTATTTTGGTTTGCAGTGGGAGGAAAAATGACCCTGAACACCAATTCCAAACTTAGCCTTATCTTCACATGGTCTTGCCTCACAGTTTGTATACATATTGAGAACAAGGCAATCATCTGGGGGTATGTAATTGAGAGACAATCACTACTGCAGGACCTAACTGTTGTATGTTTTAGAGTAATTTCCAGGTCTTAGTAACCTGGATGATTAGTTGTTTCCATGGTCAAGTATTAGCCACATTTCGAGATGACAAGCTGGGCCAAGGGTAGTAGATGACTGGACTCCAAAGTCAAAGTGAAACAAAAAAAGGGGATCAGGAGTGACATGAGGGGCCCATTCAAGGCTGAAGCCAGAAATGACATATAAGTCATTTGTTTCAGTAAAGATGTTTTCATCTTCAAGTAACAATAAACCAACTCAAACTGTTCTAATAACAGGGTTATTAAACACTGTATAATTTTATTGTGTTGTGGAACTAAAATATCAAACAATAACATAACTCCCGGCACAGACCGATCAGGGCTTGAACTGTATTTCACTACTTTCTCTTGGCTGTATCCTCTGTTGCATCATCTTCATCCTTATGCTGGTTCCACTTACTCAGTTAATTTCATCACTTGCCCATCCATGAACTAACCACCATCGCCAACAAAATATGGAGCTCTGATTGAAGCAAGCCCATCACGTCCTGCCTCTGGATCTGAGGTAGTGGCCAGTCCCACCAAACCACACGTCTGCCACAGCAGGAAAGCAGTAGAATAGATGCTAGAGAGGCCTCGGTGCCCACTCCGTACCCACTGAATCAGGGGTCAGTGAGGGCAGGAGGCTGAGGCCAGGGCAGAGGGAAGGAAAAGAACTGGAAAACAAAACAGTCATGGCACCATCATCAGACTCAATCCACTAGGCACAAGAGAACCTCACGCTGAAACAAGACCGAACTAAAATGATAGGTGATTATATTCTTCCTGCGGGGAAAGCAGAACTGCTCAGGGAGAACTGAAGCCAAGGCCTACATTCAGGATACTCACTTCCTGATTTCAATTATTAAGGAAAGAACAATGATGGTTATAATGCCAGATAGCTCACGGTAGAAAATCACTGCTCTAGAATAAGAAAGAGAGGCATTCATTCTCTCCCACAACTAATGAACTATTTAGTAAATGTCTACTCTTAAAGACAAGTAGAATGCTGAAATGCTAAATGTTTCATTAAATAAAACAACTTGTTTCCCAGGAGCTGCATTCTGTGTGATGACAGGATGTTCCAAGACTGACTGAGGCCTTTGATAGGAACAAGAAGTTTATATGTTGATGTTGAATAGCGAAAGGGAAGGGTCACAACGTCCAGAAAAGTGCCTTTTACAATTTATCAAGATCTCACTACAAACACTACTTGGTCCATTTTTGTTTATATCAAGAAAGTCTGTCTAAGAATATTTAAATTAGTAAATATTTTGCACAGTACTCATCAGGTAGTAGGTACTCAGTAAATGTTCATTGAATTAAAGTATTGAGCACCTCATAAGAAGTGTGACAGGCTCTATGGTAGTTGAGCAGCCCCTGTACATACCCCCAGGCATTCATCATCCCACACACAGTTGGCTTCTTACCGTAGCCTCTGATGCTCTGCTTGAGGCTGATGCTTAGTCCACAGGCAGCATAGGTTGGAGGTACTGGGCAGTTACTATCTCCACAAGTAACTGTCAGCCACTGATGGATGGTAACGGGTAGATAAATGCCGCAGCTCCTTTTCCTGTCACATGAGACAGCTCTGAGGCATGTGCCATGCTGCCTCACAGAGGTCCTGAGTAGGACTGTGCCCCCATCACCAGCAGCACTAAATTGCTTAGTGATATGCACTTCATTGACTTCCTTCCCTTCCTTTACTCCTGTTCCTGCCTTCCTGCCTATGCTTCCTGGGATCACCCCCTAAATTAACTCCCTTTGCTTGCAACCTTGTCTCATGATTGGCTTCTGGAGGCACACATCCCAAGACAGTAGTCTTCCTAATAGCCACTCTCCTTTTCTTCCTGGCTATCAGGATCTTAATATTTTGGGGAGAAGCAGTAAGCCCAACCCCAGGAGATGGACTATCATTGGAATATGCCAGACATGACAATCCCCGTTTCTGCTTTTCTGGCTCAACTTGCAGCTACAAGGGGGGGTGGTATGATTACTTTAGCCAATGAGATTTGAGCACAAAACTAATGGAAATTTTCTGGAGAAGTTGTTGTTCTCTTGATAAAAAGTTATAGGTGCAACTGTTCCTCTTTTTGCCTTGAATGTGATCGTGGTGTCATGTGACATTTACCGCAGCAAAGAGATCCATAGCAAAGATTTTGCTGACCCCAACATAATCGGCCCACTGAAGCAACAAGAGCAATGGCCCATCTCTGAGACCTCTTGTTATGGAGGAGGTTAGAGCCCTATTTGTCCAAGTCGCCTCATTCAGTTTTCCGTTACATGCAGCCAAAAACAATCCTAACTGACACAAATACCTAGCACTGTGTCAAGGGATGAAAGAGATCAAGAAGGAGAAGCCCATGACTGTTTCTCTGGGGAGCGAAAACTAAGTTATAAGATAATTAGAAGCACATTTATTAACTTTAAGATAATGGGCATAATGGTTTGTTCAAGCACAGGCTGGTCAGCTAGTTGGCACAGATTCAGGTGCTGAGGGGTGTTAAAGACTAAAGGGTCTTTTAGGTCCCTTTCACTCTCAAGTTTCTGTCATTCTCTTGCTGGAGGGCAGGAAAAAGTCAGAGTAAGATTCCCAACAAGGTTCAGGAGGAAGAGAAGAAAGAAATGAGCCTTGAAAGGTAGACAGAGTGTGAATAAAGTGAAATGAAGAGCATCACAATCAGGACGAGGGGTTGGAAACACATGCTGTAGGAATACTGACAACCTGGAAGCTCTAAACTTCAACACCCCCACCCCAAAAAATGAAGGGGCAATGCAGCCGCACAGGGTAAGTTTCAATGGAGATGGAGATGTAGATATATAATAGCCATTTCAGAAGAGCATTTTCAACTGGAATATCCGCTATGTCTGGATCCAGCTGATCTTGCTTTTAAACTTTCTTAGACATCTCAAAACCAGCTCAATGGATAATGACAGAAGTGTTACCCTCTGTTACACCACTCCCTGAAGATGAGAGTGGGATGTCATCAGGTGTGGGTGTCATCATGAAATGCCCAGTGGAAACGCAAGTGGATGAGAATGATGTGGTGGAATCCTAAGATAACTGGACACCTGGGAGAAGCCTGTTGTCATTGCTCGGCATTTACAGCACCTGCAATTCATTAGCTATTCCTTAACCAAACCCTGTGAACTGGATTCTTCTTTTAAAATGAAAAAACAGAAAGAGGGACAAGGGATAAACTCAAGTTAACTAAGAAATTTTTTCCATGGTAATGTACACAGATATTACCATGAGCCTGAAAGCTAGAGTTCTATATTGGGAAGAAATACATGGCCCCTACTAAGTCTAACCAGGACTATTTGACTGTGTATAACAATGATAAAAAAAATAAAAACTACTGTTACTTTTTTGCAATATATTATAACATGTGTTACCTTAGTCAAGCTTCACAAAGAACCCAGGTGGTAGATAAGTTGAGTAAGATCATTTTTATGTCCCAGGCACTGCTCTCAGCATACCTTAGATGTACCAGTAACTCTCTATGACATAGATATTATTATTAGTCCCACTTTACATAGGAGGATAGTTAAGCACAGAGAGGTAACTACCTGTGTCAGTCAGGATTCAGTTAGGGGAGCAGAACCACCATGTGTATTTCGGGAACAAGAAAGGCATTAAAGCAATGAGAACTTACAAGACTGTGGGAAGAGCTAGAAAAGTAAAGGTCCAGAAAAGGGATGTTGAAGGACCAGAGGAAAGTCAGTGTCGGGGACCATGGCACGGGGGCATGAGTGGAACTGGTAGGCATACCCACAGCTAGGCTGGGAGCACAGTGGGGGCCGAGTATTTGGTGGAGGGCCTGAGCCCACAGCTGGTTGGTGGCCTGTAGTCCAAGACTTGGATGTGGAGTGGGGACAACGGGCAAGTGGAGCCCATGGGTTTATCTCTCATCACTGCTGTCTCTCTGATGGCTTTTTATCCCTGCAGTATAAATTTAGTTAGAATCCTTTTATCAAAAATCTACAAATTTAACTGAAACAAATATTTGCACACTTATATAAGAAGATATTCATTCAAAATCATTCATAAGCATAAAAACATGTTTCCTTTATTACAAACAATTAAAATAATAGGAAAAGGTTATAAGAGTTACCACCATCGATTTATTTAAGACTATTTAATGATATAGGGGGAAGGTTATCATGCAATATTAAAGAGAAAAGCAATTTGATGTTTGTATGTATATTATGCCAACCATGCAATTTTTATAAAATTGTTCACCACACACACACACACACACAAAAAAAAAAAATGACTGGAAGGAAATACACCAAAACCCAAGTGGGGCATGATGGATGTTATTTCTTTTCTTCTTCCTATGTTATGTTTTTCTCTGAGTGGTTGTACAGTATTGATCTTAATTTTTTTGTCTGCTGATGTATGTGTGAGTGTATTGTGCCTTGTTACATAAGATATCTATAGTCCCTTACCAAAAAAACCCTCTCTTTTAAAAAAACAGATCATGCTCACTTATTAAAGAAGAGGAAAAGTTTTAAATCCTTTCTCATCAGCATTTCAAATGAGTTAAAGGGGCTTTGTTTGGAGGTCACAGCTGGTCCCTGTCCTGCCCTCAGTAATGCCATATTTCCCCCTTTAGAATAGTCAACCATGGTGTGTAGACCCTCAACCTCAAGCTAGGGGCCCCACTGCCTTCCAGGCCTCTCGCTGGCCTCCCCGCCCCACCCTCACATGCACAAGTGAGCTGACCAAGTCAGTGTGGAGGCTCTGGAGGGTTAGACAACTAAAGACTCGCCTTCTATTGGGGTCATGTTGGAATGTGGCTTGGCACTGCATTTTTAGGGGATAAAGGATGACGGCCTACTCTGGCTGGTCTTTCACTCTCACTCCTGCTCTCTCCTGGTATCCTAAAATTTCATCTTGTTTCACCAAAAAAGAATTCCCTATGATTTTCTAAGTCTGATGCCCATTATGCTGCTGGCCATGCCAGGACAGTTAAATATGGAACTGGCAAACATACAGGAAGCATACTCCTAGTTAGACTACCTGGGAAGTTGTCAATGGGTTGTTCCCACATTCGTTCACTGGAAACCCTGACATGTGCAGGGTGCCCAGGAGTGGGGAAAGAAGATCAAGAGATTCATGCCATCAAGCAGAGAAGTCTATCAGCATATGGCAGAGCCCTGGCCTCCCCTCCTGCCCACTGAGGAATGCTTGATAGGTAAGCATGAAGTTGTGTCAAAGTGTTATGGGCTGTTTCCTCTGTAGGAGTATGACTCTTACTTTCCATTGATCTGGAAATATAATTTCCAGTATGTTATTAGTTCTCTAACAATGAGATCCTCATCCAGTTTTAGAGTCTCTGCACAATGCCAGCTCAGTTTCTTACTGGGTAACTTGGAATAATACACATTTGGCGCAATTGGCTAAATCATTTTCATCCTGTTTCAGCAGGTTCCAATCATGGCAACCTAATCAATCTTCTGGCCATCTACATTAATCCTGAAAATGACCCAGATAATCTGATTGGCTGCAGTGCAGCCCAGTCACAATTTCCATCACACCATCTGGTGACTCTGTCTCCTCCAAGGGTACCCCAGAAGGACCATCTGTTTTGATATTCCTTGTGTCCCTCTGAAGGAGGCAAAGGTTGAGGCCAGCCACACACCAGCAAGTCATTCTCTTCCTGCCTTTGCATGAACCAAAGAAATCCTGAAATGCACTATAATTTAGCTGATCACATCCTGCAGAGCCTGCTTGGCATTCTCAGTGAACATATCGTAATATTCAGAATGCAAATTAAACTTTATGGGTGCCATAACCTTAGCCATTTATTGCAGCAGATTCCATAATTGCCTGGTGCTGCTAATACAGCCAAGACTACTTTGGCATTTTTTTTTTTAACTTTTGCAGACAGAGGTGCCATGTTGATTAAGCAATCTGGGTGTTTCTTTGCACTGTTTCTTAGGCAAATGTATTAGTTAAGGTCCTTTTTCTTATAAGCAACCAGATTCAGTCTCAGCTGGAGATGGACAGTAAAACTGACAATAAAATATATTAGAATGCTCCAGTTCAAGTAGTACTTGAGAAGTAAGTAGAGTTCACATCGTAAGGGAAAATAGGTTTGTACCAAAATGCAAGATGAGTTAGGAAAAAAAAAAAATAAGTCAGTTCAAGACCAACTGGTGGCTACAAGTTATGCTAGAAGGTTAAGGTTGGTTCTTTGAATAACTTGAGCCATAGGCATCTGTGTTTTGCACTAACTTGGAAGATAATCACCTAGCATTAGGATTATCACCGAAAAAGATTTAAGAAAGATGTGGTTACTATTGACTTACATGACACCTATGTGTGAATTAGAAAAAGGTCTCCATTCATCTGGGCAAAGCTGGCCCTGACCAGGCATATTCCACTTTATTCCTTAGTCCTTGGGAAGCCACCCCCAAATAAAATTTTCCAGGACAGCAAGACCTCCCAACCCACAAATTTTAATGACTTTGTGATACAAGGAGGTGGATATAAAAGTCTAATTTAGGAATGGAAGTAGGTAGCATTTCTGGAACATCCTGGGATATGGACTTCCCCAAGGAAGATAGCAGGCAGGAACATGGGTGGAGTTAAAGGAGGAGTTTGGAGATTTGAATAAAAACTGAACTCCAAAGATGTGTTTTAGGAAGTCCTGGATTACAGAAGACCCTTTATCCCACTGGCCTGTCAGTACAAATAAGTCGGAGTTTGGGCCATTGTCTTTTGCTGTGTCTCCCTCATGCCATATTCATGAGAACTGGATGTTAAACCAGGACACCATAGAGCTCATTCCTTTGGCAATGCTTATGTGTTGAGCTGGGAGTACGGCCATCTCAGACATGCCTCCAGCTTGTCACTTTGAGGTGAGGAACAGAAGGGAATGTACTGAATAGCTGTGGGGGCCTGAACAATCAATACCCCCAAGATTCTGCCAGAGCAGCACAGCAGATTGCATGAGAGGCCCCAGAGCTTTCCTTCTCTGTGTGCCACATGAACCTGCCAGTCCTCTCACTAGATAGTCGATTTCCCCACCTTTGTAAATGTGCTCAGCCATGTCATTTGTTTTGGCCAAATAGAATCAGATGGAAATACAGTGTGCCAATTCCAAACCTATGCTTCAAAAAACCTTGCATGTCTCTGCTAGTGCCACTGCTATGAGAAGAATATGCCTGACCTAGTCCTCTGTGCAATGAGTGCGTAAGACACATGGACAGAGCTGTCCCAGCCAAGATCAGAGCTCCCAGACAATTCTAAGATGTTTGAGTGAGCCCAGTAGATGCTGGACAACCCCTATGTGTGTGCATTATACTAAGAAGTGATTGTTGTTTTAAGCCACTGAGTTTGGGGGTAATTTGTTACATAGCAATAGCTAAATGATACCGCAGGAACTAGGCAGATCCTGGAGCCTCAGCTTCCAAGTTTGTGGACTTTTCACAAACAGCTTCCATTAACCTGCAGCAACTCCTAATTTTTGCTTTTCTTCCAAATTCCTGAGAGGGACAAATAGTTGGGGAGGATGCAGTAGAATCTCAGAGAACATAACTTTCTTAGTGTTCAGAAGCCAGAAAACCTCTCCAAAGATGGCTTCCCCACCTGGGCCACCTTCCCAGGTCATTCACTGTGAGCACTTCCTCCTTCAACCTGTATCTCCTTGCACTGATTATCACTCAGTTCCAAACACAACGTTGGCAATCAAGAAAAGCAAATGGTAATGAGAAAAAAAATGCTGTCATCATCTCCGCTGCCTCTTCATCCATTCCTGGAATTTCTCATGACCCATTTTTTCCTTAGCATAAACGTTCATCTATTTATCACAGCAAAATGTCATCACTGGGCGATCATGTTCTCTTACAAAAGGTTGCTTCCTTGAACAAGCTGGGACCTTGGGCTTCCTAACCAAACAAGGCAGCTGTTCTGTATACTTTGGATACTATAGCGGCTTGTACCAGCTTGAGTACTGCCCCACAGGCTCTGCGGGCATTGTCACAGGCTTCATTTGAAACCCTTTTCACGACATTTAAAAATCAGAGTAAATTACTTTCACTGAGTCCTCTGAAATAAGGGTACGATTGTTGTTTACTCTCCCGAAGAACTGAATAGCTACAATAATTACCCTTCCAGAAAAGCATCTGTCTGTGCTTACCTCTTTATTCTTTCCCTCTGTTGTATTATGAGATCTTGAAACGAAACCTAAAGAGCAGCTTTCCTGGATGCTGGGATAAAATTCACTGCTCTATCATTCTGGGGATCACCTCCTTTTCTTTTTAAAAAGAATTAATTTTGACCTCTTGGTCACTTTAACATGCTTTTTTAAGAATAAATGAATATTTAAATGTTGAATGCTCTGCCTCTGCACTTTAAAAATACATTTGAGATCAGAATGAATTCTGTTACTTTAAACAATTTAAAGACTTAAAATTAAAAAAAACAAATTGAAAGTGCATAAAACTGTAAATGAAAAGTTCTTTCATACCACGTTTGTCTTTATCCTACTACAAACTAGGGAGAAAATACATAGACTTACCTCACTTAAGCTGTTGAGTCAATAGCTCTTGAAAAGCTACACCAGTTTTTGTACAGTGGTTTTCCCTATCCCACTTCCTGTTTTCAGGGCACCTAATTTTTTGCTTAAAAACTTCTGAATAAATATGCCATAAGGAGTGATATTTCAACCTCACCATTTCAGACAAAGACATGCTAACCAATCTGTTAAACCAACGGTCTCTGTTCATAAAATATCATACAGAAAAAATTTAAATTGTGCAGCATGTGTAGATGACCTCAAAGTGTTTTGTTTTCATTCACATGCTGAGGGACAACACAGAGGTGGCTTCACCTACCACTTCTCAATCTGTTGGGCATGTGTGTAATTTCTGCATTTTGAAACCATCATATGTTCAGCCTTTATTTGCCTCTCCAAAGGTGTTTTTCTGTTCTGTAACTTTATCTTAAAATTTAGTTGGTCTTCAAGATAACCATGAGTTCCCACAAGGTTGAAAACTTGGTGAAAATCAAGGTATGCATGTTCCAAAAATAGCTTCCTCGTATCCTTCCTCTACCAAGATAGGTGGGAAAGGGCACCATTGTCCCATTTCAGACAGTGGACTGTCCCAAAGGTCACCAGGAAAGCCATCAGCAGATTAGCAATGAGCGGTCTTGGCAGTTACAATTTGGGCAACAATTAGCCACCAACTCTGGCCAGCTCTGCAAATGGCTGCTGAGCCCTGACTCCAAGTGTCCACTTGGGAAGCAAATGGGGCAGGGCACACTGGCTGTGGCACAGCTGTTGGTACAGTTAGTAATCACCATGACTTCCAACACTAAAAGAAGAAATGTAGACTGGGTACATCACACACACTGGATTATCCAGTGAGGCCACCAGGATATGCAGTGTTGAAGACCACAGGTCCAGACCAGACTGACTTTGAACCCCTTCTCTGCTACAAGTTTGGCCAAGTTACAGACCTTTCTGTAGGTTCATTTTCTCACCTGTAAAACATAGATAATAGTAGCACCTATCTCATTCAGTGGTTGTGAGAATTAAATGTTTTATTACAAGTTTATGCCCCTACCATATGTGTTATATTTACTATATATGTATGTTATATATATATGTGTGTGTTATGTATCTTACATATGTATATATGTGTGCATATATATGTATACATATGCACCAAGCATATAACAAGTGTTTGATAAACATTAGCTATTATCCTTCATGTGAAGGTGTGAAGGAAAGTGGAGCATCAAAGCAAACAAACATTGCTTGGTCTTTAACTCTGAGTAATCAAGGCATTCAAATTGTCATCTGTATCAATCACAGATTTCCTGTCACTTGAAAAATTGCTTTAACAAATTCACTTACATAAAGCTTTTCTTGATTCTCCACCATAAACTTCCTATGGTTGTTACTCTGAAATACAACAGAAAGTGTGTTTGAGTAGCAGAAGCTGTCTGTGCCTCCCATGTCACCTTGACCCTGAGCATCTCAGTCCATTCTGGGGTGCACAACAGGCCAGAAGTGTGGGGAATGATCAAACTCCAGGAGCAGCTCTTAGCCAGCTACCAGTGGGAACTGGCATCTAAAGACCCCAGCTTCCTCACCCCCTGAGGGGGTACAGCTCTGAGGCATGTGCCCTATGCTGGCTCCCAGAGTTCCAGCAGGACTGAGCCCCAGCGCCCAGTGCAAACTTGCTGATAACACACCTCTTGTGGACCCTTCCCTTCCCAGTCCCACCTCCCGGCTGTACTGCCTTGTCTGATGTCACCTCCTGAATAAACCACTTGTCTGATTCCGGGGGGAAACCCCAAAGAAGACTCAGCCACACAAATACACAAGCTAAAAAAAGGTTGTTTTTAAGTAGGTTTGTCTCCATATTGAAAAGAATTATTAAAATGCACACCAAGCAAATTCAAGAAATTCCAATTTAATTTTACTTTGTGTAGAATTTGGTTGGGGCCTTAGGTATTGAATGGCTTCAGGAGAACCTTTTATGTCTTTTAAAATCCTTGGCTCACAAATGCTTTCACACAGAGAACATTTCTGCCCATGATTTCAGTCTCATTTAAGACTGGAAGAATGGCTTTGTCCTTGCTTAGGGTCATTTGAACTCGGGGTGTCCAAGCTAACTTTTCCTCCTGTACCCCCAGCTCCATCTGCTGCCAACAAGACCTGAGTTTCTGGTTGAAATAAAAATATCTTTACAAAGGCTTATAAAAAGGTTCATGAGATACAGTGGTATTGGAAATGGCTCTGAAGTGTATTAATGAAGCAGAGACACACAAATTAAGTTTCCCTCGAAACACCGTGTTTCTGTAAGAAAGGAGTCCTCCGGGGAAATACTTATAAGGATTTATGAGGATTTACTGTTTATTGTTTCGTTGTATTTAAAACATTTGAAAGCTTGTTGAAAATTTTCTCTTCAATAAAATTACCCCTGAAGTCCATTAAAATTGCTGTTAAGAGACAGTCATTTCTCTGGAGAATGAATATTTAAAATTCTTGCAACTTAGAGAACCAAGTTCTTGAGGTTCTGTTAAGCCAAAAAAAAAATTGTTTTAATATCCTAAAATCAAACATTTTTAAGATTGTGCTTTTAACATGAATAGACTTCAACATATGTTTACAATTATGCCAAATTTATCAGGTCAATGGCATTACAGCTCATGAAAAATAATTTGTAAGAAAGACTGAAATGTCTTTATATTTTGCTTGCTTTCCACCAAAGTTAAGTTTTTGGGTAAATTATCATCATGTCCAATTGTCTCTATTTGTTTTAAACACTTCATATTAATTAAATATACACCAAAGAAAGATATCTTAAAAATATCTTTGCTATGCAAGACTAAGCTAAAAAACAATTCTATAGAGATTTAAAGAACTCATTGTTTTCATAACCTATGCTACACAGATGCATTTAGAACTGAGAAAAAATAATTACAAATGATACTACATTTGCCTGGTCCTTAACTATTTTAAATTAATTTGCTTCGATAAAAAGCATAGTAGTAGGTTTCCTGGTAGACTATTTATTAAGTGCATTTCCTTTTCATTATTTCTAATATTTTGCTTCATAATTTGAATGGCCTCATTTTTATTTAAGAGGAAAAACATACAGTAATTACTCTTTTCAGTACTAATCTTTTTTCTTGCTTTAATAACATATTCTTCTTTCTTCCCACAAACAATCCCAGTCTTCACATAGGTGTCCTTTCTCCTTTCTAGTTCTCTCTCAGTGGTGACTCCTCCACTCCCTTCCCCTACACACATACACACCAGGATTTTTCTTTCTTGTTATCTCCCTGTTCTGGGTCTTTCTTTTTTTGGCTACTTCTCTTCGATTCTTTCTCTCTAAACTACTCCCCCCTTCCCCTATGTCTCCCTTTCTTTAATTTGCCAAGATCATGTTTATAAAAGGGAGCAAGCAAGTCAGTTAGCTTCACAGAAGACACACCTGCTGGGGCAATAGGTATACAGGGGCTCTGGTGATAATCTAAAAGGTTAAATGTGAGTTTAAGTTCTGCATCATGCCTTTCAGAGGGGTGTTTATTTATTCAAGTAAGGATAAACTTGCTTATCCAAAGCAAAATGCAACATTAAAAAATTTAGATGTCTGTGAAACACAAACACAATTTTATGTATTTATGATCACACACATGCTGTAATCAAGGCGAAGTCATTCAGTGCTCAGTTAGTTCATTGTGATGTGTTCTTTCAGCAGGAGGAAAAAGAGGTGAAGCCTACAGCACAGAATGACAGACCATTTAGGAAACAGAATTGTATCTGTTCTTCAGTTGGAAGAGCTAATTACTGATCGATTTGAGACCTTGTGTCTTGATAAACAACTATTGATTGAGCCTGATTATTTCCTGCAATGTCAGAAACATTCAAACGTATTTGTGTTATTGCAAAAGCTATATAATTTATTGGTGGGCACTAATGGTTTTAATGCTTCCAGTGGCAGTCATAACGAAAGGAAGATTACAACCCTGAATTTTCTAATGCTTCATTCTGGCTCTTAAGATTAGCCTATTTTGACTCATTAGTCAAGTTTCTGTTTATACAATGACTTATTTACATAAATTATTTAAAGTAGACCTGTATCAGGTGCCCTGTTCAAATTCAGAAAATGGGGGAAAGAGGGGCTCAGGCCACTGAGAGAGATGCAAATGTTGAGATGGACTCGGGAGAAAATCAATGAGCTAATCAGAGAAATCTGCAAATAGTGAATGCCGCCACATTACCTCGCTGAACGGGCCACGCTTTTCCAGTCTTGCGGCCTTTGAACATGCATTTTCCACAGCCTGTGATGCTCTTTCCCAGATACACACACTGATCTCTGCTCAACTGTCTTATCAGAGAATGGTTTCCAGGCACCCTACATCAAATGTGTAAAATAGTAATGCCAACCTTTGTTTCATTTTTCTTCTTAGTGTCATATCATCATTGCCCTGGCCCATACCTATTTTTTTAAACTACTCTATGTGTACCCAGTAGCACTTACTTCATTCCTTTTTGTTTACTGCTTTCCTTAGCTCCTAGAAGAGAGACTGGTGGGCATTAAATATTTGCTGATTTGACCGGAAGGTAATTGTGAAGCATCAACATCATTTATTTTGACGAATGTTATCTCAGTACCAGGAAAATCACTGTGAGAAATGAAAGGTATGATTCTTCTCTTCAAAATGCTTATAATTTATTTGGTGAGACCAGCCTGTCACACATCATATTAGCTATCTAGTACTATGTAACAAATTTCCCCCAGATATCAATAGCTTAAAAACAACGGACCTTTATTATCACATGCAGTTTCTGTGGGTCAGGAATCTAGGAGTGGCTAAGGTGGTTGCTTTTCAGGGTGTCTCGGGGGGGCTAAAGTCAAGATATTGGCCTGGGCTGTAGTCATCTGAAGGTTTGACTAGAGCTGGAGAATCATTTCCAAAAGAAATGTCTCATGCCCATGTCTGTCCAGTTAGTGCTGGCTGTTGGCAGGAGGCTTCAGGTGGAACCCTCAGTTAGTGCCCAGACCTCTCTCTAGGGCTGCTTGGGTGTCCCCATGGCAGGCAGCTGCACTCTTCCGGATGAGCCTGAGAGAGAACAAAGTGGAAACCATGGTGTCTTTTCTGACCTAGGAAGTCACACTCTGTCATGTCTGCAGTACTGAATGGTCATCCAGGGGAGCTCTACCCAGTGGGAAGCGACCACACAGGAGCGCAAACAGCGGAAGCTGAGTCCTGTCAGGGGCTGGCTCCCACAACGATAAGGAACACAGCACACGTACCCAGGTGTGGTTAAGTGCTCGATTGTGAAAACATTTAAGGTCCAAGCGGCTTTGAGAACCCAGACTTATATAGTTGGAAAGGCTGAATTTGATGGCAAATTCAACCCTCATTTGGACAAGGGTGTTTGTTTCAGGTATTTTCGTAACATAAACTCCATTTATTCATTTATTCACCACTTACTTACTAAATAAATATTTATAAACAGTATTTATTAAGCCCTTGCTTACTGTGCTACAGGGCAGGGATTATGATGAAAGCCCAGATCCTGGGAAGGAAGTGGCCCTTCACACACTGTCTATTGTGTGTGGGATCAAATTTATTGAGAAATAATGGTTTTGAATGAATTTAAACACAGGCAAGAATCATCATCCAAAGCCAGTTTTTCTTTGGGCACTAAAAATATAAATTACAAGTGTGCAAAACAATCACATATGCGGAAGGAAAATAAAAGTTTTCATACTCTTATAAATAATTTCAATTTAATACAAGAAAGGTACACTTTAGAAATAATCAAGTAAGTAATCTAACATAAAAAATATTCACTGGACATGATAATACATGAAGGAAATCCACATGACAATGTTAATAAAAGGAATCAGTAAAAATGATCTTATTCTCTAAAACACCTCGACTCACCCTCACCTGCCCAAATTGGAATATAACTGCCTAGATTTCAAAATTTATCAGTCCACCAAAATGTTTTCCAACCTAGTGCATCTCCACCATTTGTCACAACAGTGACGACCAAAAGGACATTTAGCATCTAAATCAAGGAACAATTATTTCTCTTAACATTTTCTCTTCGCCCTGTCCATTGCCTGGTTTATTGTTATCTCAGTCACTTTCAGGCCCAAGTTTATGGCCTAAGTTAATGCTAATTTTCATCCCTTTCTAAGGAATTAGGGGAAAAACTACAATCTCATAGTCATTTAGTCAATGTTTTTTAAGATAGGACTAACCCAATGCACTGTTGTAACAAAATTCAAGCAGAAACCACATGTCAGTCTAGCAGAGAAACAGACACTCTCATACACCTCTGGGTGGAAGATAATAAATGACATGAAAAGCTTTACAACTGGGTAGGCACTCTGATTTTCCTCTTCTAGGAATGACTTAGGAAAAAAACTTGAATGTACACAAAGATGGAATGATAAGGATGTTGGTGGCAGAGTAGCTTATAACTGTGAAAACATGGAAACAAATGTCCTTTAAGAGAGTATTTCACTGCATGAATATGAATATAATTTAATACCTAACAATCATTAAGTATATTAGAACGTGTTAGGACAGTATTTTACTTCATGGAAATATGTTCATAACCTGTAGTTAAGAGAAAAAAGCAATGGGAATAATTATTGATATTCCATGTAAAAGTACATGTTTAGTAGGAAATAAGGTTAGGAATATCAAAAATATTAACAATGATTTATCTCTAGTTTGTAGAACTGCAGGTGAATTGAATATTCTTATTGAAATTTTCTCTTCAATGAGCATGGGTAATAGGTGGATTGCACTAAAGGCCCATCCCTGTATTCATCAACTCTGGCTCAACTGGGTGACTTGTTTTGGCCAATAGGACATTAGCTAACATGATGTTAGCAGTTGCTTGGAAAGCACTGGCATGACGGGGCTTACTCTTGTTCTTGTCCCTCTTCTATCTGCAGGAGAACATGCCTGGGCTAGCCTGTTGGAAGATGGGAGATGGTACATGAAGCAGAGATGAGCTACCCCGATTTCCCCACCTGTACCTGCCCTAGGTCATGTGGCTGCTAGCTGGGCCCAGGTAGGTGAGAGAGCCTAACAAGATCAGCAGATCTGCAGCAGACCACAGGCATGTGAGTGAGATCAGCTAATGCGGCCAAGTGTCAGCTGACCCATGCAGCCTCCATGATAAGAAATGTCCTTCGTTGTTTGCCTGCTGCTCTGCTTTATTGTAGCACTATGCTAATGGACAGAGTGTGTGCTTGTTGTCAGGCTTGGAGGGAAATAGAAGAGAAAAGCAACAAACCCCTTAGGTTTGAACCAAAGATATCTGAGCACAGAACTTGTCAGAAAACATTTTTGAACAGGTTAGACTGGCAGAGAGCTGAAAATCATTATGAAAATAGAACAGATGCTCTAACATGTGCAAGGTCTGGAGGGGGTTCATGAACTGGAAGCATATCTCCTGGAGCTCACACTGTGATAGTGGGGATCCCTCTCGACCCAGGGAGTGCCCTCAGAGAGTTAGCAACAACAGTATGAATATGCTGCAGCACCAAGGGCTTTAAATCACTGAAGTTGGTTAAAAATTCACTAGCTCTTCCCCAACATGCATTGGAGAGCTCAGTAAAATCAAAAAGGCTACTCTAGCTGTCCGATGAAGTAAAGTAATGAGGTCTATCAGTTGACTTAAACAGAAAAAATGATATTAAGCTTTCATGGAGGACAAATGAAAGTATCTACTTGCAACCTTTCTGACAGCCAGAGACCCTGTGCCATTTAAAACTCTGCCACTGCGGTGCACTATTCCCAGGCAGCCAAGAGTTTAATAAGACTTCACGGAGATACCTAACCTCCCAGTCCCAGCTGCCTGCTGGCAACCCTAAGGCGCTCACTGGGGAAGCTGACAATCTGAGCTAACATCAGGGCACCAATTTTCTCAGACATAGGAGCACAGGTGGGCATAGAAATGTCTGCCTGCTGCCCCTCCATGCATGCAAATCACAGAATGGTCTGATCTCAATATCACAGTGCCCACAACCCTTGGGTGTTTAATCTTGGAGATTCTGGTGATCATTGCCTTTCTTTACTATGAAGCCTGCCTCCCCTGCTGCATGAAGTGCTGCCCTTTATCGTACATACAAGCCTTTCTTTGAGCAAAGCCCGAGCTGCTGGGCCCAGCCTTAATTCCCAAGATTCTTCCATTCGGCCCCACACTCCAGTCGCAGGGGTTAGGTATTTGCTTTTCTCACCTTTGTGCTTTGTTCAGCCTGTGACTTTCATTGTCTCCAGCCAACCCACTCTTATACCTTTAAATTCTGGCTTTGCTTCACATGTCTCACTCCCCAGCTAGGCTGCAAGAATCGTAATGATAGTTCCATGACAGGTCCTTTGCTTTGCATGCCTCATTTTTATTTTGTCCAACAACCCTAGGAGATTGGTATTGTTATTACTATTATTATATTTAGCACCATCATCCCAACTTTCAGACAAAGAAACCAAGGCAAAGAGATATTAAAGCAACTTGCCCAAAGTCAGCATCAGTTCTGCGGGGATGGAGGTCATGTGTACTTTAGTCCTAGAGCCAAGCACAGACCCTGGCCCAGAGTACTGAATGAAGGAATGATGGCTCCATGAGGCTGTCCTGCAGTCAGAGATAACCTCACCTCCTTTGCTTTCAAGCTCCACCCTAGTACTTAACACATAACATCATAGGTCAGTCCCCCATTTCCAAATAATTGGCACTCTTACATATACATGACTCTCCCTTGCTTTGAAGCAGCCAGCCTCTCGCAGATGAGGGAATCTCCAGCTCTGGGTCTGCCTCACAGCAGCTGCTGCCCAGAGAAGGGCCAGCGATCCATTGAGAGGAAGGACTGAGGGCAGGAGTTGGAAGCTGGTTGGCCAGCCACTCACCCTAAAGAAGCATAGCCCTGCCCCCTCTGTGGTGGAGGGGCTCCAAGAGCTTGCTGGTCCACTTAGAACCATTATCTAGGATGACTGTCCCTTGCCAGCCTCCCTTCCTCCCCTGCCTCCCACATCTTGGCTTCATCCACAGTAGAAGGGGAAGTTATGAAGGAACAAGGGCAATAGACTGCAGCCAGGTAGCCAAGCAGGAAGTGGAGAGCAGCGGAAATGGTGGTGGCCAGTCACGTCGAGTACCTGGGGTCTGAACTCAACCTGTGCTGGTAGAAGCACTGAGCACCACAGGCCAAGACTTAGAGGGTCTTAAAGATCAGCTATCGTTGCCATTGGCCTGCTCTGCAATCCAAGAGGAACCAAACGAGGGGCTTGAGAGGGGAGACCTAGTTCAGGCTTGAGAGGGGAGTCCATGAAGACTGTTGGCAGCCAGGCTTCCAGCTATCTGTTGACATGAGGCTCTCTGAGGTCCTTTCTCACCTTTGGTAGGGACACCTGAGCCTGAAGGAACTGCATTAAGGGATTTTGTAATTACTGACTCCCAGCTATCTGGGAAGAGAATCCCCTTCTGCTTTCAGACATTCAATTTTTGAATGTATGTTCTGCTTTGAGAACCACCTGTATTTGTTTATGTTCTTCCATCACTGGATAGTAATCTCCAGAAGCATGGCCACATTTGCATTTCCCTCCTGCCTACTTGCCCTCTGCAAACTGCAAGACAGTTGTTCTATAAAATTTTAAATTTATGCAACTTAATTGCATGTCATAATATGGGTTCCCTGTGAAAAGCATTTGTACATTTACAGAGTGCATCCAAAATGACAGAATCCTGCATCATTAGTCAGCAGTATGAAGACGTTTTCCCCTTTTTTAACCAAATGAAAAAGGAAGCAAGGTGATTTAAAGCCATTGCTAAAATTCAACAGTGAGGTGTCCGTTAAGAGATAGACACTGCCACTAATATAACCATCAGAGAGAATATCACAACGCTGCTAGTGGTAGTTTCTAAAGATTAACTTTAAAAAAGAGAAAAAAGGAATCCTGATATTGATGATTAGTAGATGAAGCAACACAGGAGTTAAGACAAGTGATCATTTCAAATGTATAATTACACTTTACCTCAGTAATTATAAATTGCAATGTACTTAAACACATATTCAGTTTCCTTAATAAGTAGAATAAATAGAAGATAAAGGTGATTTGCATAGAGTATCTCACATATTTCCCACAACAATGTTCTTCTTTAGATAGTTCCATTTGTATTTACCTATGAAAAACTAGATGATCAATCTACCACTCAGACAGTAACCAGATTATGAGACAATATAGACAGTAATCAAGCACATGGGATCTGGAATAGAAATGTACTCAAATTCTGGCCCTTTTACACACTGGTTAGATGGCTTAGACGAGTTAGTAGGTAGAACCTAGACCCAAACTTAGATTTTGCAACTTGAAATCCTATGATGAAATACCAAAATGGTAAGGAAAGCCTGGGGAGTGGAATGGGGAGGGAGGTACATGCTTGTTTTTCTTTGCCAAATCAGACATTCTACCATTATGGGCATCTCTCTACTCTATGTGATTATTATAGAGTCTAAAAATACCTAAAGGAAAGAAGTGACCCACCCTTTTGAAGTCTTAGTGGTATGTTGGTGGTGTTGGCACCCTATTTATTTATAATGTCTACACATATGCTGCATCATTGACAAAGCAGTATGAGGCAGTTTAGAATAGAACTCACCCCTGTGGGCTGGCAGGGAATGGGCTGAGCCCCATCAGTGCACAGGCCAGCCGGGGCCAGATCCAGGCAAAGCTGGAAAGGGCTGGGCAGAAGGACTCAGGATAGTACTCTGGATCCAACTAGGAGGCAGAACTACTTTAATAGCAGTTCCACCCTAAGGAGAAAACAACCCATGGGCCAGACACAGCTGGAAAGCTGCCACCGCAGCTGCTGTGTGTCAGTTGCTGGAATCAGGAAGCCAAGTGCGTTAGTTAACTATTCTACTATAATGCTGTGTACACGAATCCCAAAACTTAGTGGCTGAAAACAATCATTTGAGGCAGCTTGCTTTATTCTGCAGGTCTGTGGACCTGGGCCTTCTCCATGGCCTATCATTCTCCATGAACCACAGGGCTGGCTGTGTCATGTTCTTCTTACGGCAACAGTAGATGTACAAGAGGAAAAGAAGAAACACTCAAACTTCTTAAGGCCTTGGCATGATCAGTTCAGCTCTACTTCATTTATCAAAGCAAGAGGCCAAGCCCAAAGTCATAAGGATAGGAAGTACTCTGTGCGCATGATAGGGCCGTGATAATGAGACAATGTAGGACAACATAAAAGAACTTGGGTCACTTATTCAATCAAGCACCTCCTTGGCCACATTATTCACATCCTGCCAACATGAAAACATCCCCATGCCCATCAAAGGATACTCAGAAGTCTTACCCCATCATGGTATCAGGCTCAACATTTAGGACTTCATGATCTACATCTGGTCCAGATTTGAACTGGATCTATGAACTAAAAAGACAGATCATTGGCCAGTCCCTCCCACATAATATGCAATGGTGTAACAGGGACAGGATAATCACAGTAAACACACCCATTCAAGAAGAGTAAACCTGGTGCTTAGCAATTCTGAAATCTCTGTTGGTAAATTAGCCAAGTTCCCCTGTCATGGGAGTAGGAAATGTTTCTTCATTAGACACTGGTTCTCTTTCCAGGAGAACGGTAGGTAAGCTGAGGGGTGGGGAGCGGGGTGCAGAGGGATCCCCAGTCCATTGTTCTCTACAGCTTCCAGCTCTGTCCTCAGAGATATCCTTTCCATCATCTTCTTCACTTGCTTCTGAAGAGGACATTGAAACTTCCTTTTTTGATGGTTAGAAGTTTTCCCAGCCTGTTTCCTACCTATAAAAACTGAGGGCTCAGAGGTCTTTTTTCCCTCAAACTGTTTCAGTCTCCTTTAGTTCAGTCTGTTAGTACTCTGGCATATCATGTTCTCCGCATCTTACTGGGTTTTCTATGTATTTGATTTCAGTTCATTCCATGAGTCAAAACCACAGTTTTTTTAAAGTCATGCTTTTCTCTCAATTTAATTAATTACCATTTTGATGCACCTTGGGCCCATCAGGTGGCTGTAGTACTATGCCTTTAAGCCTTATAGGAGATTTTGTCGAGCTGAAAGATCTACTAAACGTCACTTTGTAGTATTTTGCAATGTCACCACCACACCTCTGAGTCGGTCTTTACCCTGAAGCCATGCTTTCCTGCAAGCCACCTGAATTTGGTCTTTGTCTCCCCTGCTATAATTCAACAACCATGCTCTGGACTTGATCATTGTCTCCAGGCTGTATCTTAATTTGAGAATATTTTTCTGGCTGGAGAGGGTGGAAGATAAGAAACAGTTCTTTTTTTAACCCAGTAACTTCTGGGCTGCTTACAGTGTGTTTTGTTTTGAGCATCTTTCTCTTGTAGTACCTTCTTATATGCATTGTCTTGCCAATGAGTTTCAGCCCCGGGTAAGTTCACTATGAATTCAATGTGACCAAAGAAATGACAGTAAAATGTTCTTGGGGTGAAAGGGTTATACCCAACTTTATTTCCATGGTGGCAGGTCAATCACTAAAATCCCATTGATTTCAGAACAAGTCTGCCTGCAGCAAGCCAGTCTCTGCCTCTGGGCCTCTCAGCCCGCACAGCCATACACTCTCTGTCCATGGCGCTGCCACCACTTCAGCCTCTGCTCTGCTCTCCTGCAGCCTTACAGCCATGCTACTGTGTCACCCAGAGCACTGGGCGGAGCTCTTTACAGAGTCAATAGCAACGTCTAGACAAGGAGGACCAGGTGAGAATCCTGGTCATGGGAACTTTCATTTTATCCACATGCATTTAAAAGCAAACAACACATTCAAAATTTTTCTTGGAAACCATTTTCTCCTTTCTCCTCTCATTTGATTTTGCCCCTCACTGTTTTTTTATTTTTACCATGCAATAAATCAGTGGGTAGAACAATCCTAATATTTAGATTTATGGACATAGAACATCCCACTTGGAACTTAAGGCTAAATTCATCTCAACCAACCAACTCTTCTAGAACTCTGCTGAGGGACATCATGAGTTGGCTTAGCCCTAAAGAAGTACTTAGAATTACTTAATTGTACTATGTCTAGATCTCCCCTTAGGACCTTATAGAAGGAAGAAAGGATAGAGCCAGATTTGGATATTGCTGGGATTTTCAAAATCTTACTTTTGTTCCCTAGAAGGGCCATGGGTACAAATCCTACTGATCTGGAAGAATATGGAATAGGACTCTACCATTTATTAGCCCCAGTAAATGGTGGAGTCATGGATTACCAGCTATTTGGTAGAGGTATTAGATGCTAGAATTGTTGATTTCTATCAAAAGCCCTACACTGGTCACCTCAGGTCACCTCTGAAAGAGCTACTCACCATTTTTTTCCACAAAGGTTCTACACCAATTTACAAAGTTTATAATAGTACCTAGATCTATTAGTAGAGAGGGTAACTGTCTGTGACCCCTCACCCTTCACTGGAAAGCCAGTAAGTTCAAAGCTACAGATTTATGCAAGTACAGAGTGCACTTCCCTCTTTATCCTGTGGGTGGCAATAAGAGATGAACCCACCAAAAGCATACAGCCTGTCTCCAATAAAGATAGAGCTGAGCCTCTTAGCTCTGGAAATCCCTGCTTAAATTCAGATGCTGGCATGGGGCAAATGGACAAGGACATCCTGGGATATAGGGTAACAGGGCTGGCTTTTGTGTTCAGCTCTACAAAGTCTACAGATCAAACTGGGGACTCAGCTTTCAATGGGCCCAGACCTTCTACAAGTTCATGGAGGCTGTAGACTAGGAGGGCTTGGCCCAGCTCATTCTCAAGAGGATCATTCAGCCACTCCCCCAACTAGACAAAGAGGGTCTCTTACTCCAAACCAAATGCCTGGTCAGAAGGCCCTGACATACCACCTTCTATCTCACATTTCAAATGTGCTGTAACTAGTTTACTTAGAATTGTAACCTTCCTTGGTGAGCAGATGCATTTTCCTCATAATGTTCTCTTTTGGGCCTAGCAAAAGGCTCTAGCTGTAAATGCAGGTTATTGCTTGCCTCTCGGCTTGCCCTAGAAGTCAGCTAATCACACATAGTCCTTGGTGTAAGTCTCCCAGAAGCAGGTGTATCACCTCAGGTTCTGTTGAAAGTAGCATATTGCCCACCAGGCAGAGGAGAGGCATGGCAGGGCAGTAAGAAGAGATATGCTCTGAGCCAACAACACAGTCATAACTTGCAGTTTTCCATGTGTTAGAATTATCATACCCACTTATGTATATTAATAGGTTTCCTTTCACAGCAACCTCTACTTTATAGCTGAAAGAAACCTAGGCTCGAAGTTAAATAACTTGCCTCAGGTCTCCCAACTAGTAGTGGGCAGTGCCAGGATCTGAAGGCAGGCATTCTGTTTTCACAATCCCATTGCTATGCCCTGGTCTATGCTACATGGTCTGCCTTGAAACCTGGGATATTTACTGGTAGGGACAGTTTGCCAGCAGGCACGATTCTCAGCCTGAGGACAGAGATACTGGTTGACTGCTCCTTCATTCCTTTTCCTGGGTACATTCTACCTGGAAATTCAAAAGCTTACATTCTCACATGTATGAGGCTCCCCCAGCCTCTTCTTGGAAGGAGATTGCAGTTTCCTCTGTAGACAGGGCCAACCCAAATGTTTCTTCTTGGAACCATTTTGAGCTGCTCAAATACAAAAAAACTTCAGTGGAAATTCCAGACTTCTACACCTCAGAACATGGCAGATCAGAATTCAGTCTGGAAATTTCAGTATCCTACCAATGCAATCTGACTTGGATGAGAACTGGCTGTCCCACCAGGAGCAATCAGATGCAAGGGATGTAACTGTTCTACCAGATAGGGGTTATATCTAAAGAATTGTGGATAAAGTCTTTCAAATACAGTTGTAGTCATTTCTTTAGTTGACTCTAAGAAGTAACAAAAAGTAATGGGATCAATTACTTCTTGAGACATTTTATAGGCTGTGGATATAACATATTGCCAAGAAAAATAAGAGTTTTCTGAAAGGCTGTGGAGTAAATCCAGCTGGAAAAGGAGGGAGCCTTACCCCTCAGTTTTATCCCTCACCACTGAGAATCTAAACATGAAGCATTGGGAGACTATCCCTAGTACTTCTGGTTCTTAGTGTGGTATTGAAATGCAAGCTTTGTCAAAGCATCAACATCTTAGAATCTCTGCTGAGATCAGAGAGTCTGGCCCAAACTTGATATTTATCGCATGTTTCTAATCTGCATGAATTGCTACCCCAGTGAGCAGCACTGTGAATACTAGAAACTGGGAGGTGTTCTTGACTCCCCACACTGTCTCATCCCTATATCCACCCTCCAAATTCTAATAATCCTTTGGTGTTGACTTAGCTTGGTTTCACTATTTCTCTCCATCACAATACCACCGTGATACTGGCTCTCATAATCTCACAATGGAATTCCCAAAGTAGTCTGCTAACCAGCAACCGAATCCACTGGTAGGTACTCCCTCTCCCTGCATTCTCTGTGTTCCTGCCATGGTGAGCTTTCTGGAATGTAACCGGGGTTCTGTTGTTGATGGCCCTTCACCTGGTTTCTACAAACTCCTTAGCTGCTGTGGTTTACCTCCTCACCACCACACATCACTCCAGCTAATCTGAATCACAGCAGGTCCCAGATGCTCTCTTGCTTTTTCTTCTCTCCTCAAGCTTTTTTTTTTGTGTGCTTTGAATACCCCTTCCCCTACCTCGTGTCCCCAGAGAGAGAGACAAGCACAGAGAAAGAGCCAGAGCTCTTTGGAACTAGAGATGAATGTGCACACACAACACACAAACTTCCATGTGCATAGAACATGACCTAGAAGGACGCTTACTAAAAAACTGTTCATGGGAATCACTATGGAATGGAGTTTTGGAGGAGATGGTAAGGGAGCTGTATTGCAAAACCTTTTTATTTTTCTATATTGTTTAGATTGTTTTTATAGTGGAAATATTTAGGTTATCTCTCTATATTCTTAATTACATTTTCCCACCCTCACTTCCAGGAATACCAATTCAGTAGGTGAAGGGTCCAGGATTCTTATCTTTCAAAGGCGCCCCCAAGTCTGTTAATCACTTTTGGGAACTGTGGATGAAATGATTGTTTCTAACATAATTAGGCAGTTGGTGTTTTTCAGAAAAACTCCAACTGTATTACACAACCATTTTTAAAAATCATTTCATTTTGTAGTAGCTTATTTCTACTACAAATATACATTCTCTAAGTATATTAGATTTGAAGTATTTGTGAGAATTGTAATAGCCTTGGCAACCATTTTAACAGCACATTTGAATAAAGGGTCTAAGTAATCACTGTAAAACATGTGTTTATGTAGTAAATTTCATAAACCATTTTAACATTAAGGCAAACAAGAGAAAAAATTATAAATACAAATATTGTTTCTTAAAACCCAAACTTTTAATAACAACTTAAATACTATTTGAGTAGATTTCAAAACAATGAATAATCTCACTATATAAAATAAAAAGTTATTACAAATATTGACTTTAGTTTATAATATATACCTATTTCACTAAACATTTTTAAGCTTTTGATTTTGGAAAAATATAAATATGTGAATACTTTCATAATTAACTGTTGAAGATACCTACAATTCCCTAAAATTCAGACATCAAAGCATCTATTTCTTTAAACTTGTTAGTTATAGTTTCAATACATTCTTCAACTTTTAATTTTATCCCATCAATAACAAGGTAGTCCTCTTCATAGTGATTTTCAAATGGACTGCCTGCCACAGCTCCAGGGCTGCATTTAGAGAACTGTAAAAATAATAATACAATTCATCAGAATGACATAAAATTTACATGAAGACCAGACTTAATTAATTACTTGAAGAAAACATAAAGTAGTGAGTAACTCCTGAAGCTAGAGCAATCACACAAAGTGTTCCGTTATGCTGTGGTGACATGGTGTTGTACCTGTGTATGGTACAACATAGTAAATGTGTTAGTACAAGAATAACTTATTATTTAGGTCCTCTTTCTGCTTCCCAACATTACACATTTTTAGTTTTAATTTTATTCTTAGGAAAAATGTGATTATTTTAATCCTGTGAGTTTTCTATATTTGCTCACTTTTATAATTATTATTATAGGGAATACAACTTAAAATGGTTTGAGTCACCTTTCCTGTGGTTATCTTCTCATAGGCATCTGAATTCCTTGTGAGTAGTTAGTCTGCTCTAGCTTAGTGGAAAAGGACACTGATAAAAACAATGCAAACATACACACACACACACATGAGATTTATAACTTTAAGGTTCATTAAAAATGGAATTAACTTCCTATGAAATTCAAGAAAAAAATTTACATGCAGTTTGTACAAGTATTTTCATGTATCACAAATGTACCTTTTAATACAAATAATTATCTAGTAAAGTCTGTCTTATTTGTATATGGATTGTCTAACTTGTGAGTTACTAAGGTGGGTTTTATAACAATTGAAATTAATTCCCTCAAAGTTGCTTGCCAAGTTAAAGCATGTCAGTCAGTGTTAATATTAGCCAAAGAGGAACATAATTAGGAAAGTAACTCTACTAAGGAAAACAATCTCATAAAATATTTCAGTCACAAAGAGAAATGAATTTTGATTATCTGTGTGTGCTCTTTTTCAGGTTAATACTTTCATCCATTGGCACAAGTGCTGAGAGTAATCAACTTGAAACCTCATATTAGAAATGAATGATGAAAACATCATCAGATTTATAACTCTGAAAATAGCTCAAACAGCATTTGCTCAGAGAATAAACCTGCTTAGAACTCAAAAATTATCAGGTGGCTTGTTTCGGTGGGTTAGCTTGCAAGAGGCCACTTTCTTCTAAAACCAAAATGCATCTCCAGCTTTAAGTGGTGTTACCTTTGGACGCATATTAATTTTTCCAACTAACTAAAAAAGGAAGGAGGGAGGGAGAGAGAAGAAATCCCTGAGGTGATCGTTACTTTTAAACTGGGAATTGCTCCAGCTTTGATAGTTGATTTCATTGCTCTTTTCCTCATTTAAAAGTGAACAAGGCCCTAAATTTCCTGAAACCATCATGAATGCCTGACTTATAAAGTGGAGAGTGGCTTATGAACCAGTCAGCAGGAGGCATCACCTGCCTGCCAGCAAGTTAAAATGGTTAATTTTTACAATTCCTAAATGCCTTTTGAAAGCATAAAATATTACAAGAATCTAAAACAAAAAACAAGCTCCTTCCTGGTGATGTATTAAAACTATGTATTTTACCTTAAGAAATAAAAATCAGAAGTATTTTTCTGTTCTATCAAGTTACCAGTTATAATGGCAAAATGGAAGCCAATTGTGGCTGTAAAAGCTTCAGGACATCTTTATGAAAATCAACCTGACTGTATTTTTTGAAAAGACAAATTGCAAGGACTGAAAAAACACTGCACAAAACCATATCGTGCTCAAAGCATACATTTGCTATATTGTATATATACATATATTGTATATTAATTATATACATATATTGCACATATATATATACATATATTGTATATTAATTATATGTATATAATATATATGTTGCCAATCTACAGATTTTGCTCTGCAAAAGGTAAGATCTATATATAGGAGACAAGTTTTTTAAAAAAGGAACTCTAATTGGAAAAATTGCATTTACAACCCAGCAAATTCAGGTACAAGTTGGTATTGCTGGTGCTGATGAAGATAACCAATTTCATTTTCTTTTAACACATTGATCTTCTTAATTGTAAATTCAGTATATATCTTTATTTCTAATCCAATAAAGGTGTTTAAGAATCATCTTTATTTTTGTTGAAGTTCTGGATGAAATCATGCAATTGGAAAGTCTGCCAAAATGTCTTGTCCATTCATAGGTGGCTTTTCTGCATCTGAGAACAGACAGACTTGGGGACCGCTAGTTACTCAAAGTGAGAACATGGGAAAGAGAAGTAGAGCAAGGAAATCCTAGTACTTACTCTCTGCAGGGAATCCCCTGCCAGTTCTAATCTGCAATAATGCTGATCTTAGGTGTCAGTTACTACCCATAGCACCTTTCCTGGTTTGCCTTATTCAACCTTCACAACAGTTCTCTGAGGCAAATGATAAAGAACTTTACCACAATACACAAGTCTTTACTGGCAAGACCAGGATGGCGGCATAGGCATTATATTCCAGTCAGTGCTCCTAAGCACTGTGCTTTCTTGACTCCAGGCACACAATAAAGCTAAATGAATGAGAGAACGAATGGAACCTTCGGGATACATGACTTCTCACTGCCATTTTTCTTCCTGACTATTTAGGGAACCAGCGGTGCCTCCTTGCTGAAGTGTCTGCCTTATGACTTATTTTCTCACACCTACCACATTGCTGCTCTGTATTAATGACCTGGGCTTGAACCCTCATTTTATTTGTAGAGACAGGGAGCTGATGTGCTGAACAGTTTGTGAACCAACTTAAAATTTATGTTGACATACACAAGTACTGAATAAAGTACACAAGCCTTTCTCAGCCCAACATAGTCGGCCAAAAGAAAGAAAAGGACAAATCTAGTTATGAATTGTGAAATATATTCTAGTGAAAAACTCTACCACTAGCATGTTAATATGAAGTATGAGCCTACTGCTATTCTTGTGCATGAACCAGGCTGGGCAGACCCTCCAGTGAGCTGCTCTTCTCCTGGCCCAACTCCTGACTGTAAATATGGGCAGTGGTGGTCACACAGGTCTCCATGTATGGCACCCCCTCAACTACAGTGAGCCCCTCCATCTTTCTTCATTGCAAACTCAAAATCTAAAATAAAAAGAGCTCCTCTGCTCAAACACAGATCTTTTTTCAAAGGCTGATGGATGCATTCTGATTTCTCAACAAGCTGTTAGTTTATTATTTTTCACTTCATGATAACCAGGAGCTCAAATTTCAGATGTGAAAACAGTTTTCCATATAACGAGCATGTGTGTCCAAGAACAATATTTGCCATTTGAAGAATATGGAGTTGCTATTTAGACCTGACAGTGATTGTCAACACTACCTTGGTCCCTGTATTTATCTCCTCTCTGTGTTCCTCTTCCCACTCATCAGGTGCTGCTGGGAGCTCCTGCACATGCTGTAGCATCTGCTCCACTTCTTTTAGTAACATTTCTGTCTCAGAGACAACTAAAGAAACATCATTATTGTAGTAAAAATGCCACACCTTAATGAATTCAACCTAATTCATTTTAACTACCCTAAAAGAGGAAGTCTTCTCAATGTTACGAGATAAAAAAATAAGTATTTTGTATAATTTTCACATATAACCTCTGTTTGACACAATATTATTACAGATGTACAGGTAAATATTTTATATTTACCCCTTAAAAAAATGTAGGTGACATTTTTGCCATGGGTAGACCATAAAGTATCTTTGAAACATCAGAAGCATACTAGAAGTTTTTTTAAAAGTCTTCTAAAAAAAAAAGCTTTTTTTAAAAATCAGGAACCAAAGGTACCAAACTAAATTGTATTACTTACAGACCAGGGTCAGCACATTTTTTTCTGTGGAGTGCCAGAGAGTAAATATTTCCAGTTTTGTGGGCCACATGATCTTTGTCACAGTCACTCAGTTCTGCTGCTGTAGTGCAAACTGTACATATGTACTTAAATAACAAAGAGTGGCCATGTTCCAATAAAACTTCGTTTACTAAAACAGGAAGCCACTGGTGGCCTGTGGGCCACAGCATGCCAAACCCTGCACTAAATTCTTAAAACTACTGTTTAAAAAGGGAACACATATAATTAAATGGCAAGGCTAAACAATCCATTCCAATCAAAATACCAAGACAACTTAACTACTTAATATCTTAAAAAAAAAACACTCTAATAAAAGGTGTGTGTGTGTGTGCTGACATGACATATAACTAAGCAAAAAATCTGCTAATTTGCAGAGATAAAACAATACCCCCACCAAAGAAATACCTATTACAAGACTATAGACCCAATTACTGATTAACAATATGCAGCTGAATTCCTGACTCAAATAAAATAAACATCTTTATTTGAAATGGAGTCCTGCTGAAGGAAAGGAGGCCACCTATGGCCTGCTGAACTGCACAATGACAGATGGAGCACCTGAGAAGTCCTTCCAAAGGCAACATGATTCAAGAGAAAGACCACAGTACACACCCCATCACCTTCCACCCTGTTTACAAAAATCTTACATAATACCTCTTATCCATGGTTCTGTACCAGGTCACCATAAATCACACTAGGTAGAGTAGCTGAAAGTTCATAGAACATGAAAACAGACCAAAGGAGGACACACACTTTATAGCTAAAATATTATCAGTGAATATGGAAACAAGGTGTTGTAAACAGGAATATTAATTTTTTTATTAAGGTATCATTGATACACACTCTTATGAAGGTTTCACAAGAAAAACAATGTTATTACATTCACCCTTATTATCGAGTCCCCCCCCATACCCCACTGCAGTCACTGTCCATCAGTGTAGTAAGATGTCACATTTGTCTTCTCTGAGCTACACTGTTTTCCCTGTGACCCCACACACACCATGTACACAAATCATGATACCCCAGAATCCCCTTCTCCCTCCCTCCCCAACTGCCCTCCCCCACCCCTCCCCTTTGGTAGCCGTTAGTCCCTTCTTGGAGTCTGTGAGTCTACTGCTATTTTGTTTCTTCAATTTTGCTTCACTGTCATACTTCACACATGAGGGAAATCATCTGGTATTTGTCTTTCTCTGCCTGACATATTTCACTGAGCATAATACCCTCTAGGTCCATCCATATTGTTGCAAATAGTAGGATATATTTTCTTATGGCTGAATAGTACTCGATTGTGTGTATGTACTACATCTTCTTTATCCATTCATATACTGATGGACACTTAGATGCTTCCATTTCTTGGCTATTGTAAATAGTGCTGTGATAAACATAGGGGTGCATATGTCTTTTTGAATCTGAGAAGTTGTTTTCTTTGGGTAAATTCCTACGAGTGGAATTCCTGGGTCAAATGGTACTTCTATTTTTAATTTTTTGAGGAACCTCCATATTGCTTTCCACAATGGTTGAACTAGTATACATTCCCACCAGCAGTGTAGGAGGGTTCCCCTTTCTCTGCATCCTCACCAACATTTGTTGTTCCTAGTCTTTTCTATGTTGACCATCCTAACTGGTGTGAGGTGATATCTCATTGTGGTTTTAATTTGCATTTCCCTAAAAATTAGCGATGTGGAGCATCTTTTCATGTGCTTGTTGGCCATCTGACTTTCTTCATTGGAGAAATGTCTGTTCATATCCTCTGCCCATTTTTTAATAGAGTTATTTGCTTTTTGGGTGTTGAGGTGTGAATTCTTTATATATTTTGGATGTTAACCCCTTGTCAGATATGTCATTTACAAATATATTCTCCCATACTGTAGGATGCCTTTCTGTTCTGCCAATGGTGTCCTTTGCTGTACAGAAGTTTAGGTTGATGTAGTTTCATTTGTTCATTTTTGCTTTTGTTTCCCTTGCTTGAGGAGATGTGTTCAGGAAAAAGTTGCTCATGTTTATATTCAAGAGATTTTTGCCTATGTTTTCTTCTAAGAGTTTTATGATTTCATGACTTACATTCAGGTCTTTGATCCATTTTGAGTTTACTTTTGTGTATGGGGGTTAGAAAACAATCCAGTTTCATTCTCTTGCATGTAGCTGCCCAGTTTTGTCAACACAAATTGTTAAAAAGGCTGTCATCTCCCCATTGTATATCCATGGCTCCTCTATCATATATTAGTTGACCATATATGCTTGGGTTTATATATCTGGGCTCTCTAGTCTGTTCCATGGTCTATGGATCTGTTCTTGTGCCAGTACCAAATTGTCTTGATTACTGTGGCTTTGTAGTAGAGTTTGAAGTTGGGGAGCATAATCCCTCCCTGCTTTATGCTTCCTTCTCAGGATTGCATTGGCTATTTGGGGGCATTTGTGGTTCCATATGAATTTTAGAATTATTTTCTCTAGTTCATTGAAGAATGCTGTCAGTATTTTGATAGGGATTGCACTGAATCTGAGATTGCTTTAGGCAGAATACCCATTTTGACAATATTAATTCTTCCTATTCATGAGCACAGGATGTGTTTCCATTTATTGTTATCTTCTTTAATTTCTCTCATGAGTGTCTTGTAGTTTTCAGAGTATAGGTCTTTCACTTCCTTCATTAGGTTTATTATTAGGTATTTTATTCTTTTTGATGAAATTGTGAATAGAATTTTCCTGATTGCTGTGGCTAGGACCTCCAGTACTATGTTCAACAACAGTGGGGAGAGTGGGCATCCTTGTATTGTTCCCAATCTTAAAGGAAAGGCTTTCAACTTCTCACTGTTAAGTGTGATGTTGGCTGTGGGTTTTTCATATATGGCCTTTATTATGTTGAGTTACTTGCCCTCTATACCCATTTTGTTGAGAGTTTTTATCATGAATGGATGTTGAATTTTGTTGAATGCTTTTTCAGCATCTATGGAGATGATCATGAGGTTTTGTCCTTTTTGTTGATGTGGTGGATGATGTGGATGGATTTTCGAACGCTGTACCATCTTTGCATCCTTGGAATAAATCCTACTTGATCATGATGAATGATCTTTTTGATGTATTTTTGAATTCGGTTTGCTACTATTTTGTTGAGTATTTTTGCATCTATGTTCATCATGGATATTGGTCTGTAATTTTCTTTTTTTGTGGTGTCTTTGCCTGGTTTTGGTATTAGAGTGATGCTAGCCTCATAGAATGAGTTTGGAAGTATTCCCTCCTGTTCAACTTTTTGGAAAACTTTAAGGCAGACGGGTATTAGGTACTCACTAAGCGTTTGGTAAAATTCACCGGTGAACCCATCTGGTCCAGGATAAAATTCAGTGGTGAAGCCATCAGGTATAGGGGTTTACTTAGGTAGTTTTTTGATTACCAGTTCAATTTAATTGCTGGTAATTGGTCTGTTCAGATTTTCTGTTTCTTCCTTGGTCAGTCTTAGAAGGTTGTATTTTTCTAGAAAGTTGTCCATTTCTTCTAGGTTATCCAGTTTGTCACCATATAATTTTTCATAGTATTCTCTAATAATTCTTTGTATTTTTGGGTGTCCATAGAGATTTTTCGTTTCTCATTTCTGATTCTGTTTATGTGTATAGACTCTTTTTTTCTTGATAAGTCTGGCTAGGGGTTTATTTATTTTGTTTATTTTCTCGAAGAACCAGCTCCTGCTTTCATTGATTTGATTGCTTTATTCATCTTGATTTTATTTCTGCTCTAATCTTTATTATGTTCTCCTTCTACTGACTTTGGGCCTCATTTGTTCTTCTTTTTCTAGTTCTGTTAATTGTAAGTTTAGACTGTTCATATGGGATTGTTCTTCTTTCTTGAGGTAGGCCTATACTTCCCTTTTAACACAGCCAATCCTACATCCCACAGATTTTGCAGTGTTGAATTATTGTTGTCATTTGTCTCCGTATATTGCTTGATCTGTTTTCATTTGGATGTTGATTCATTGATTATTTAAGAGCATGTTGTTAAGCCTGCATGTGTTTGTGGGCTTTTCATTTTCTTTGTATAATTTATTTCTAGTTTCATACCTTTGTGGTCTGAGAAGCTGGTTGGTACAATTTCAATCTTTTTTAATTTACCAAGGCTCTTTTTGTGGCCTAGTATATGACATAATCTTGAAAATGTTCCATGTGCACTTGAGAAGAATGTGTATCCTGTTGCTTTTGGATGGAGTGTTCTGTAGATATCCATTATGTCCTTCTGTTCTAATATATTGTTCAGTGCCTCTGTCTCCTTACTTATTTTCTGTCGGGTTGATCTGTCCTTTGGGGTGAGTGTTGTGCTGAATTCTCCTAAAATGAATGCATTGCATTCTATTTCCCCATTTAATTCTGTTAGTATTTGTTTCACATATGTCGGTGCTCCTGTGTTGGGTGCACAGATATTTGTAATAGTTAAATCCTCCTGTTGGACTGACTCCTTTATTGCTATGTAATATCCTTCTTTGTCTCTTGTGACTTTCTTTGTTTTGAAGTCTATTTTGTCTGATACAAGTACTCCAAGTCCTGCTTTTTTCTCTCTATTAGTTGCATGAAATATCTTTTTCCATCTCTTTACTTTCATTCTGTATATGTCTTTGGGTTTGA